ACAAGCAAACAAACAAACAAATAAATAAATAAATAAATTGAGCAGAAAGTTGGGGTATAAACAAACAAACAAACAAACAAACATTCTTCAAACATCAGGAAATATGAGTCTCATGAACTAGCTGATTAAAAGCCAATTCCCTATTTTACTGCTCTCTTTCTTCTCCTTCAAATCATCCTGCTAATGAAATAATATGATCTGCATATAAACCTAAGAATAAACCTCACAATGCTGCTTCAGACATTAAGAAAACTATGTGAAAATCTGGATCTCTCTGGGCCCCTCCACTCCACTAACAGTTATGTTTTTGTGTTAATTACTGTACAAAAATTATTTAAATAGTAAGAAAAATGGAGGTGGGATTGTAGGAGTGGCCCCTTCAAGGTCCACTGGACATCGGAAACCTGTATACCCTTGTCCTGGTTAGACAAGCCAAAAAAGGAGGATTCTTATTTTTGAAATATTACCTCCCAGGGTTGCACATTCAGAGGATTCAGTCTACTTTGAACAACTCCAGACTTGTGTTTGGATGTAGATAAGAGGGACATCTTGTGTAAAGCATGTGCTATAGCATAGACGGCATTATAAATGCTGTAGCTCTGGCCTGTCATGCTCATTTCAAAAAGAGTTCCAGGTAGGCTTTCTAGTTTCTCTTCACCAGTACACTTCTTATCTTCTTCACTTTCATGAGAAGTAGAAAATAGGCAGCTGAACGCCTGTTCCCAAAAGAGTCTGAGAAAACCATCTTTTGATGAGTTGGGAGATACTTCCTGCAGAAATTCTCTAAAGCCCAGCATCTCATTTGAATGAAGTGCCAAAGACACGGCCCCATGGAAGACATGTACATCAAAATCTCTGTGAAATGCCTCAGTTGAGAAATCCCAGTGGGCTGTCAGAATCCATACCTTCCCTAAAGATATCTCTTCTATGTCTCTTAAACTGGCATAAACATATATGAGCCATTTCAAGCACGACATGGTTTGGAGGTCTGCGTTTACAACATACACTTTGGCTCTCGATTCTGTCAGCGATGGGACAATGTCAAAGATTTGTTCATATGATTGGAAGTTCTCTAAAATGTCAGATAAAGTCTTTGTTCTTTCAATGACAGCTGTACAGATTTCATGTTCAGAAAGCATAGGCAACAATGTTTGCAAAAACCTTTCCCCTTTATCATCATCTGATGCAATGATGGCAATCCACAACCACTGGAAATGCAAAAGAAGCAGGACAATCCCTGTGTACTGAATTGTTTCACTGGGAACCATCCGATAGAAGGAAGAGAGATTTGTTTTAACATTTATCATGGGTGCTAATACAGAGTAGGCAATCTTAAAGGGAAAAAAGTTGTGATTATACACTATGTAAATTTTTGCAGTGTATAACTTTGAAAACATTTACTAACTCTGACACATCTTCTTTTAGGAATATTAGCATGTTCAGCATGAAAGTCTAGACATCTAATATATTCATTGTAAAGAATCTGCTTTCTTTTTCTACAGTTACCCATCCTGAAGCCAGGTGCTGAATAGGCTAAGATTTGTATCTCGTATCAATAGGATCTCATTAAAAGTTATCTTGGTTTATAAATACTGCAATATCAACCTCAAAAATCTGTGTCTTGAACTATACAAGCTATATAAACTATGTCATACAAACATTTTAAAGGGAGTTCCTTAAAAAAATGGTAGTATTTGGATTGTCATAACATGAGCTTCCGTAGTTAGCCTTCATTAGATTAAGGACATAGGTCTATCAGGATCATGTCTCTAGAACACTCTAAATACTGTCCTTAACCTAGATCTTTCATATGTTCAAAACTGAAAAAGGGTGCTACCAATTCTATTTACTTATTTATGTATTTATTTCCTTTCTTTCATCTCTTCTTGAAGAAGTTGCAGTCAACAAACTTACCATACCTGTGGAATCTTGTAGATGCCTAAGATCAAAGCCATGTGGAGAGAGATTTCAGAGTAGTGTCCCCCAATAACAGCAATCAGATTATTTTGCCCATCACAGTTGTAATTAGGCACAATCCTATTTCGATTTGACAGAAGCTTCAAGGTGTTTTGGTGAGTCATCCGTGTGCTTAGGAAATTGTCATAGATGTGGAACCCCAGGCTGACATTTGGTAAGATCCTGGGATTCTCGTTGATCTGCTTCACAGCAAATGCCAACGAAAGGACATGCTGGTAGTTTTTTGTCATTGCCCTAAAAAAACCAACAACCCAGTTACATCATACATTGGTCAGATATATTTATATTTGTTAAGCATTAATCTGGTGCATTTCAGGAAACACAAGTTATTTCCTTACATTAGGTGATCTGCAAATTTGGTTGTAGGGTGCTCACTGAAGGATGGTGTTTCAAAGAGACAGTCAAACTGTGTTGTAATCTCTCCAATGATTAGGTCACCTTGTGTACAATACTGGTATGGGATCTGGAAGAGATCACTCATGGTACACATTGCAAAGTGTGTCTTGCCAGTAGTTGGAGGGAGGTGCAACAGCCAGCAAACAAATAATTGAAGCAGACGTAATCGTTGTGTGGCACACATTTATGTATCTCAGTAGGTTGGGTTTCTGTGTGACTCATTGCCAGTTACCAGCAGACACTGGAAAATTATTCTGAATCTGATCTGTCAGCTTTGCATTTGTCCAACCACAAAACTGCCATGTCCTGTTTCCACAGCAATCTGCATTTGAAAAAGCATACCTATGTCATAAAAATTATACATCCATTGAAAATATCCTGCAATGTGCATTTTGCAATAATTTTCTCCTTTTTTTTGTTTTCTATCCATTTTTCTTAAAATGCATAGTTTTCTAGCCAATATAAACCTATGAGGGCCATATTTTCTTGTACTTTCCCACCTAAAATGTGTCAAAACTAAACATATAAATATAAAAATGTTTGTATGTCAACAGATAATGTTCATACATGGAGATATATTTTTTTTCCATATGGGTTATATACAGTTTCTATGCATTGTTTAACAAAAAAATGGCTCACAGAATCTGAGAAATACACAATCCAAATGATAATATGCATTCCAGTCTGTTTATTAGTCTAGGGTCTGCATATAAGATTGCATCACTTAAAAGTGGAGAACAAATGAAAACCTAGTTACCAGCCTTCCTTCAAGAGCTGTAGAATCTTCTGAATATGAAAGATCAGACTGATTAAGTACAGGCAGCCTTCAGTCAATTATTTCTCCTTTCAATAGTGTCAGGGACATTTATGGAAGGTTTAAAATTATGTTGTGTTGTTAATTGTAAGTTGTCTTTAAAAAAAACCCACATGAGACTGACATGGGATAAGTGCTAGTAATCAGGTATAACTACAGGGTTCAGAATCTAAAGTCATCTTGTCAGATAGTTAAGATTTGAAATTCATTTTCACTGAGTGTTGTTCAGTTTTGGATAATAGCATTGACTGTCCTATCCGAAATCTAAGGAGAGGAGACAAAAGTTATAGCCTGATCTAGAGCCACAAGTTTCTTAACTCTTGCTTAACGCTTCCTGTAGAGTTAGGGTTGCCAGATACATGTGTACAAAAAGGAGGACAAAGGAGGACGTATTGGGGGGGAAGACCTTTGAGGTGGGCTCGGGCTTCTGAAGCCAAGGCCCTTAACCTTGAGATCCATTGACCAGACAGGGCATCAGATATGTTATAGTCAACTCCTGAGATGTGACAAGCAGGAAACAATATATTATAATGAAGACAACACAATGTGAATGCTCTAAATAATGTCATAAGCCACAGGGATCTGGAAGTTAACTGTGTGTACTCCAGCCAGATTGATGCACTAAAAGGAAATGACTGGATGGGCCACCAATTAGCCCATAGCTGTAACGTCCCAACTATTTGGGCGGGGGGAAACCTCCCAAAAAGGAAGGTCTCTGCTCATGTCAAGTTTGTGCCACTCTTCTGGCCATTGACCAGCATACCGGTTCCCTCTAAAATAAATCCAGAAATTTAGGGAGCCTCAGAGACTGTGTGGACCTGGAATTCATCCCCCAGCTGCATGTCAGCCTGCCAAAAGGAGATCGTGTTGAAACTGCCTGGAAATGTTGGCAAACCTGCATGCTTTGTTCATGTCATCTGTCATCTTGCCTGTGGTGAGGCTTCATGAGGCCATACAATCCCTCACACAGCAGTCTTAGGACGCCCTGCCCAGTGTTATCACCTTAAAATATAATGACAGAATTCAGGCCAAGAGTTGTACAAATGTTTCATATAACTTTATTATGTTTGTTTGCTCATTTGTTATCTTTGCTCTTTTGGATCATGGGCTTCCATTAATTAGATATTACTATTGACTTTGGGATGTGCATTGGTTATACTTCAGTCATCAGTGTTTCTACATGCAAGGAAGTAGGAATTTTTGGGAATGAGCAATTAATAGTTCCAGACAACCTGAGGGAAAAAGGTGCAAGAAATGTGAATGATAGTACATATATATAGTGTGTAGGGAATCTGTATGATGCTTAGTCTGTGGCTGAAGGGAAAATGTAGAGGCTCCAGTTCATGTGGGCTGATATAGGGGATGGATGGATGGATAGATGATTAGATAGATGATTAGATAGATAGATAGATAGATAGATAGATAGATAGATAGATAGATAGATAGTAGATAGATAGATAGATAGATAGATAGATAGATAGATAGATAGATAGATAGATAGATAGATAGATAGATAGATGATAGATAGATAGATAGATAGATAGATAGATAGATAGATAGATAGATCGATCGATCGATCGATCGATCGATCGATCGATCGATCGATTCTCCACAGCAGGGGCCAGTTAATGACATCAGGTTTTTGGGAGAGGCAGTGAATTTGTTTTGCAGGTTAAAGGCACTGCCCCTTGTGTCACAGTATAAAACTGCTTGGGTTGAAGTCTTTTTAGCAAGCTGTTTTGCAACTTGACTGTAGGGTTCGAGTTCTGAAGTAACAATATACATAAGTGAAAAGTAGAAAACACAGAATGTTCTATTTCTTTCTCTTTATCAGCTGATCTTTTATGTTCAGTTGTGGTCTCAGCAAAATAATGTAGCATTTGGGGAAAAAGATGCAAACCAGCAGACCAGCACTGGAAACTAAGATAGAAAAGATCTCCACAGCTACCATATATTTTCCTGTAGTGCTTAGATAGGTTGGAACAAAGGATAACCAAACACACGAAAACACCAGCATACTGAACGTGATCATCTTGGCTTCATTGAAAGTATCAGGCAATTTTCTTGCTTGGAAAGCCACAGAGAAGCTGATAATAGCAAGGATGCTCATATAACCCAGGGCACAATAAAACATTATTCTAGACCCATCATTACATTCCAGTATAATTTCTTCAGCCACTGAATTCATGTCACGGTCCAGGAATGGTGGAAAGGTCACTAGCCAGATGATACAAATCCCTCCTTGAATAAGGGAGCCAAGAAGTATAACAGAGTTGGTAACTCTTTTCCCCAACCATTTTCTCATGCTGTTTCCTGGTCTAGTGGCCACGAAAGCCAGAACCACTGTAATGGTTTTTGCCAACACACATGACAACGCCACTGAGAAGACCATGACAAAAGCAGCTTGTCTGAGGAGACATGTCACCTTAGCAGGGCGGCCAATGAAAAGCAAAGCACAAAGAAAACAGAACAGGAGAGAAGTGAGGAGAATGTAGGTAAGATGTCGGTTGTTAGCTATGACTATGGGAGTGCTGTGGTATTTCACAAGTATTCCTAGCACCAGGCCTGTGATTAAAGAAAAGGAAACTGCACCAAAGGCTAAACTACTTCCTAAAGGTTCTTCATAAGTTAAGAAAGTAACAGTCTTTGGAATGCATTTATTCTGTTCCTCGTTTGGATAGTGATCTTCTGGACACATGGTACAAGAATCCATATCTGTTGAAATAAGATTTACACAGTCAGAGTTGTTTATGATTTTATTTACTTACTTGCAATGTCAGCCATTAAAGCTAATTCTATAAATTAATGGCTATCAAGGTGTAAGTGAAATACAGCTCATAGAAAAGTCAACTAGCACAGCCAATGATAGGGCTTCTGGAAGCTGACATTCAAGAACATCTGGAAGATCTAGCTGAGGAACCTCTGTTGCATATGGTCAGCTGAAGTGCTGCTGCCACTGCTGCTTTTAGTGCATAAGGATGATGACATCAGCAACAAATGTGATTTTTTTGGAAATTAAGCATTTCTGACTTTTCTCCCAAAGGACCCTAGGTTCCCATGTAATCCCTTTCATCATTGCGAAGCCTTAGGAGCCATGGGATAGAAAGTAGAAGTCTTTAATTGCAAAAAATTGTTGCCACCAGTAAAACCAACCTGGTGGTGGAGATTTCTGACAATTTAAAACTTCCCACTCCCTGGAGCCCCCAACAGCTCCCCAATGATGAAAGAGATTACCTGGATAAACTGTCAGAAATGTATGATTTATGAAAAATTGCCCCTGATGTTGATGTCATTGGCCTTATACAGTGTAAGCAACAGGATTTCAGCTATTGTGTTAGATTCTCAGGTTACTTTGAGGACCCCTCTTGAGGAAAGAATAAATTCGTGTGCAGTCTTGTCATATTCTGAGAAGGGGATAACTGATGGATGAGAATCTAATTAACAGATGAAAATCCAACACACTGGCATCAGTGACAGTCCTATCTAACTCACTTCTTTAATTTCTATTGAGTTGCATTTAATATACAGTAGAATGTTATGAAGCAAAACTGAAGGAGGCCAAGGTGAGGATAAGGGGGACCTTCTACTTTAAACAAACGTACAGGACAAATCTACACAAAATAACATTGCCTCACTTCATAGATTATTATAGAACTGAAGTCACAGCCCAATGTTAAATCTGAATTCTACCTACCATGTTTCAGAGTATGTTTTATTTTTTTCATGTACAACAATCTACATTTATTGAAATAGTCATGTGATCTTCTGGTTGCTGCACAATGGTGGAGGATGGGGTTTTGCTTAACTACAGCTTATTTTGGGGGTAGGGCTTATATTACGGGCATCCTACATGGATGACATCCAAGCTTCCTCCTGGACAATGATTTTGATGGGCAACAACTGAACATGTGGCTTAAATTAGGCTATCATCTGACTGAAACCAAGATATTCATATGAGCAATAAAAAATCAAGTAATTTGTACCAGTTATTATCAGAAAATAATTGTGGAACAAGGTGTGATATATTTCAGGCCTATCATGAATCTAAGGAAACAAACATATCATAAGTTCCTAATATGTATGGCTGTGAATGTTTAAAGCACAGTTAGTACAAATCCTTCCAAAACATCTAGTTTAAGAATATGAGACCTTGCTTCTATATCCATGGTACAAAAACACCAGGAAATGACCCAACATGGAATTTAACACTGTGCATATATTACCAACAGGAAAAAGGATGGCAAGGTCAACATAAAAGTGGGCAGCCTGAATGCTGACAACAGTCATGTTAGCAGTCAAGAGAGTCTATAGGATCCCCTCTTGTGCTCATTACCATTCACAAAAAGAGATCAAGTTGCCAACTTCTCACCCTAACACAAACTGATTGTCAAGGCTGGCTTATTTTGGCTTTTTTTTTTTTGACAAATTTTGACCTCTGCTTGTTCACAGAATTTCTGAATACTTTCTTGTGCAAGTCCCTATGGTAATGGTGAAATTTTTGTTTCCTTATTTAGAGCCATCTTGTCCTTTCTTTTCCTGTTGCCACATGATAGAAGAATGCAACTGGAAATCATGGTCAAACTTGATCCAGGGTTGGGATCTGCATCTGTACGATCAGTGAATACTAATAAAAATAACAAACAAGGAATGATCTTAATTAAACCTTGACCAGTAATTCTCTAATGTGAAACACAGTTAATTACTACAGGAACACTATCTTTTACCGGTTTGCTGAGAAATCTTCCCACTTGGACAGGGTGCACAATCATAGCAACAAAATGGCTTCCCTTCCTTCTTTTTCTTCTGATAGCCAGGATGACAGTTGTCATTACAGAGGGAAAGCGGCACCACCTTTTCAAGATACACAAAGAATCAACATTGGCAATAAGTCTGTTAATAAGTCCTGGTTTCAATGAAATAAAATATTCTACTGTGACAATAGAAAAGCTTCACTATTCTCATATTTGGTTTCAGAAGCATTGTTTTGCTCACTATTATATTCATACTATTCTCATATTTGGTTTCAGAAGCATTATTTTGCTCACTATTATATTCATATACAGTATTTATTATCTTGAGAGGTTTACAATGAAAGTTAAGAGCATGTATGTAAGCATAACTTCCACCATGTTTGCTTTATGTGTCTGATCTCACACTGGTTGTTTGATTGGTTACATCAGTGTTCCCCAACCTTGGGCTTCCAGATGTTTTTGGACTTATTTATTATCTTGAGAGGTTTACAATGAAAGTTAAGAGCATGTATGTAAGCATAACTTCCACCATGTTTGCTTTATGTGTCTGATCTCACACTGGTTGTGGGATTGGTTACATGACCAACACATGACAAGATGCTTTCCGGAGCAAAAAGAACACTTATGCAGTTGCCCTTGCCAAGGTTGGGGACCACTGGGTTACATGACCAATAATGTGACCAACACATGACAAGATGCTTTCTGGAGCAAAAAGAATACTTATGCAGTTGCCCTTCCCTCTCCATGTAGGACACTGGTCTATTTTCAAGGTGAACGAAAGAAACAGCAGTAGCTACATATTTGCCCCCAAATTATGTAACAGGTGCTGGATATGAATTTCCATCTTACCTGGTTGAAGCTCCTGGGCCATACAATGGCATCCTCATCAATCATGAAGTCATTGCCTGGAGATCCCCAAGGATTCACCTTTCCAATGTTCATTCTGACGAAGGAGTTATTAGGGAACGTAATCAGGTTTGTAATATCAAACCCCATTGTAAATTCTCCATTCTCATTCAAGACCACTGTTTCTCCAGCACTGTTATTAAATTTGAGGTTCCTCAGAACAGGATGCAGCTAAAGTGGAGAGACAATAGAAGTTAGGTGGAAAATCCTTTGTAACACTTTTTAATGAATTTGAAAAAAGTTAAATATTTGTTCTGGACAAATCTGAATCATAAAATATGCAATCAGAGGATATTTATGAAAAATAGTAGCATCCCTTTTGAGGTTTTCATATGGAAGCTGGAAGCAAAAAAAATGCAAAGCAGTACTGTATCCTGCTGCCTATTAAATTCTATTCATAAGTGTCAATTCTTAAAATTGAACTGAGAGGAGACTATCCCATTTACAGTGTCTCCACATAAAATCCATGTTGCAAAATGTGGTGGCGAGAGTGTACATATAAATTAAATATCAACAGGAGGGTAGAATTAGAGACACACTGTCATGTTTTAGATGATTTGAGGTATTGGGTCATGGCAGTTGAGCAAAATCTTTGTATGATTATTACCTGCCATGGATGCATACTCTCCAATATCATCATTCTGGATTTGGATCTGGATGTATACTTGCAATGTGCGGCATTAGCCAAAGCATACACAGCATTGTAGATACTGTAGCTGTGGCCAGTCATGCTCATTTCAAAGTATGGTGCTGGAAGACTCTCCAGTCTCTCGTCCCCGGTGCAGGCTTTCTCAATGTCCCAATTATCATTAGAATTTAGAAATGAACAGCTAAATGCTTGTTCCCAGAATGTGCTGATGAAGCCATCACCCTTGGCCGAATAGGGCCTTGCATTCTGGAAAAATTTCTGGAATCCTGGCACTTTTTCTGAGTGAGCTGTGAAGGCTAAGGCACCATGGAAGGGTTCTATGTCCCAATCTCTATGCATGGACACTGCAATTAAATCCAAGTGCACGGTCAAAATCCACACTTTACCAAAGCCCTTCTCGTGCTCAGGTTCTCCTTCATGCAGTAACACTTTGAAAGTTAGCATCATCTCAGTATCTCCATAGATGACAATAACATGTGCATTGCTTTCCATAACATCTCTGAATATTTTGTTCCACCTGGCTCCCACATTTAATACATCATCAAAAAAAGTTAATGGGAATATTTTTTCCATAAAGGCAGGACATATGCTGTAATGATGAAATATTGCCTCTATGTTCCTCAGGAAAGATTCTCCACTTTCACTATCCATGGTCATTAGACCAACCCACATCCATTTGAAATGTAGAAGCAGCTGGGCAATCCCCTCGTACTGATAGATATCATACGGAAGCATCTGATACAGAGAAAGGAGGTTGGACTTATCCCTCATCTCAGGGGCAAAATCACCGTAGCTGAACTAAAAAGTGGGTGTGGAAAGACAGCTCTTTTACAAACCAAGAAGGAATCTACAGATCATCATCATCATCTTAGAATTGCAGAGCAAGAACAGACCTTCTTATCAAAATCACAGAGAAGCATTCTCTGTCTCTGGCCCCAAAGTTTTTAACTACAGACCATAACGGCAGCAAATCAGAAGCTAAGGCTGATGTTTTAACAAATGTGCCCCATTATTCATCATCATCATCTTAGAACCGCAGAGCTTGAAGAGACCCTATGGATCATCAAGTCCAGCTCTTGTTAAGGAGGCACAGTGGGGAATAGAACTCCCAACCTCCGGCTCTGCAGCCGGATGTCTAAACTACTGAGCTATCTCTATTTCATATTTTATAAAGGCTAATAATTTTCTCTTAAATTTAAAGTATGAGTTGCACAAATAGACAATCTAAGGAGCACCACAAATTTTGAATTGTGGTGCTGGAGGAGACTCCTGAGAGTCTCCTGGACTGCAAGGAGAGCAAACCTATCCATTTTGAAGGAAATCAACCCTGAGTGCTCACTGGAAGGACAGATCCTGAAGCTGAGGTTTCAATACTTTGGCCATCTCATGAGAAGAGAAATCTCCCTGGAAAAGACCCTGATGTTAGGAAAGTGTGAAGGCAAGAGGAGAAGGGGACGACAGAGGACGAGATGGTTGGACAGTGTCACCAAACCTACCAACATGAATTTGACCCAATTCTGGGAGGCAGTGGAAGACAGGAGGGCCTGGCGTGCTCTGGTCCATGGGGTCACGAAGAGTCAGACACAACTTAACGACTAAACAACAACAATAAAGGAGCAAATAAATCAAAGACATATTGAGACTATGCTGTGTGATGTGGTTCTGAACAGGTTGTAATATACTGTAGCACTATAAGCTCCATTAGGAGCAAGAAGGTGGGTTCCACCATGTTGCATGGCTGGTCAGCCAGTTCCAACATTTCCCCAGTTTAATTGGCTCTTTGTGATGTTACTGGACCTAGCTATCCTGTTACCCCAAATTAGCTCCATCTCATGTTCCCCACAGCAGCTCTGAGAAGCCTGGGTTTCTGAAAGTGGGGTTGACAGGGACAGACACAACTAAATGCTGACTGTGCCACTCGACATTTCTGCTTTTAGGCAGGATCTCTGACACTATCTCTTCCAGTGCTTGCACAGATTCTGGGTGGTAAATTAGCCTGGCTTTCTCCCCTTTACTGCCTTACTATACTGTAAGAGAAAATCTTGAGACATATTTAAGCATCACCCTCAAAACCTACATTTATCATCCTTTAGATATGCTACTGTTTTCCCCTTTAGATATGCTACACTATACTGTAAGAGAAAATCTTGAGACATGTTTTAAGCATCAACTTCAAAACCTTCATGTATCATCCTAGCTTGCATGTTTTCCCCCTTTAGATATGCTATTGTTTCTTAGAAGGGTGAGAAAGCAATTTGTTTTTTTTTAGTTGTTAAGTCATTTCCGACTCTTAGTGACCCCAAGGACTAGAGCACGCCTGGCCCTCCTGTCTTCCACTGCCTCAGAGAGTTTGGTCAAATGAGAAAGCAAGACTACTCACCAAAGAATTAGAAAGGTTTGAGATTTCCAGACTTCATGGGAAAAATAATACTGGGATGAAGTGTTTTCCTTGAGGGTGGGGGAGAGAAATAAAGAAGGGATTTGAACGAAATCAGAATCAATATAGGAGAAAAAGATTAAAATTTAGCTCACATTAAATCACAAGCACCAGATGGGCTCTAAAGTTGAGTGACACCCGATGATCAGAAAGCACAAGGAAGTAGATAAGATACTTTTAAAAAAAAAGAAATTAAACATTATCTTTACCTCATATCACCCCAGCTAAAACATTCCTCATGATAATCACATCAATCTGTCAGTCATTCAGCCTATTCCTTCCTCCTCCCACACTCAATGTTTTCACAGAAATGAAACCTAAAGAGACACTTATTTCTGCAAACAAAGAATCTGTGTTTCCAAAGTCTAAAGGCTTTATGAAGTTCCACACAGACCTACTTTTCTTCCCGGTTCTTCTGGAGGAAACCTGCCTCATGTCAAAAGAACTAGGACCAGATAAAAGTTGCCTGATTTGATTTGTATTTTAATCAAATCTGATACATATCCATATTCCCCCTCTCAGAAATAAACTTCTCTGAATTATTCATTATCAAAGACTCAGTGCCTTCCGAATACGAAGGACTGAGATGTCATCTGCCACACTCTTCTTCCCCCTGAGTTTAGTTACAGTTCTCATAGGATCTGGGAGAGAAGTTGAAAGCTACCCTTGTTGTAATTTATTTGAGCGGTTTTTGGTCTTGAACGGGCTATTAGTTTTGCGAAAGCTCTGTTCATTATCTGTTAATATAGCTACCTGTTTGGACTCCCCTTATTGGAGGGTGTTGGTGACTATGAGGAACGTCATGATGATGAGAAGCTGTACTTCAAAATTTCCCACTAAATACCATTAGAAACTAAAACACTATAACTAGAAATGGAAGGAAAAGGAGAATACTATGTTGCAGCTCAGAAAACTCCATGTTACAGCATCATCTTCTACCTGTGGTAGCTTGTAGATGTTCAAGATGTCAGATAAAGAGCAGGATGTTTCAGAGCCCAATCCACCAATCACTGCTATCAGGTGATTCTGGGTGCCACACTTGTAGTTGGGGAAAAATCTACGTTGTGTGAAGAAAAATTCCATTGCAATGTGATATATCCTCCTGCGACTGAAGTAGTTGTCAAAGATATGGAATCCCAATGTCAAATTGGGTAAGAGCTGAGAGTTTTCATTAATCTCACTCACAGCAAATGCCAAGGCCAGAACAGGCTGGTAATTTTTTGTCACTGCCCTACAAGAAAGATTAGATGATATACCATGGTTAGCTGTTCAGTTCTCTTCACATCTTCTAAATCAGTTTCTGTTTTGAAATACATCACTACAGCAGACTCATAAAAACACACAAGGAAAATAAATGGATAGTTCATTTCTGTGTATTGTTTTGCTTATCTCCATCCTTTTTATTAAGTTCTACTGTTCAGAATTGCTGCAGCACCATTCCTACAATGAATCCAAGTGCTGTTTTGAATAACATCACGTCCTTTTGTACAGTAGTGCTTAGCTACTCACCTTCTCCAAGAAAAAAGTTTCAAAAGAAAGAGGAAATACCAAACAGATTCAACCTGATCTTTCTTAGGTTTCTTCTGATATGTATCACGGAGATGATGTTCATAAGAAAGGACATGCATTGACATAGAGGGAGAGCAGTGAGTGATTTTAAAAATACAGTGCTGAATAGTAATATTGGAGCCACCAGTAAAATAATAGTGATATTGGAGCCACCACTAAAATAATCTTACTGGTGTTTGAAGGGTAACCCTAGTACTAGCATAATAAGTGTAGTTATCTTGTGTTTGCAAAAGCCATAGGTGTTTATGTGATAATGGATGCTTGCAAAATGATAAGAGCACAACTTAGAATGACACAGATGGTAACACAGTAACTTAGAAATCTTAAAAGTAAGTAACAGCAGCAGCAACAACAACAACCGAGAGAGGTTCATAACAGAAGAAGGCATAATAGGAGATATGGAAGGAAATAATTACAGTCATGGAGACATTGAATGTGTCGGAGAAATAGTGAAATGCAAAAATTAAAAGGAAAAGTATGACTAAAAAGGAGAGGAAAAATCAAAGCATAAGATAGTATGAAGAATGGTGGAAATTAATTTCAGTGGTAAGCATATCCACAACTCCACACTGGATAATTAGTATGCAGGTTTATTTACAAGTAAATTCCACTGAGTTCGGTTAGATCTACTTCCAAACATGCATGCATCAGATTGATGTATAAAGTAGCTTTCTTAAATAAAAGTGCACAGAAAAGATTTCTTACATGGGGAAGTCTGTATAATGAGCAGGATAGTTGAGGAAGGAAAACTGATCCAAAAATACAGTCATCACAGAGGCAGTTCCACCAATCAGGAGATCACCAGCCTTATAATACCTATGAGGAGTATGGACAATATCTAGAATGGGACATTTGGTGGTTTCCTTCTGGGCTTCAGGTTGAGGTATCTGTAGCAAAAGTAGAAGAATTTGCAATAGCACCATCCTGCTTTTGTCAGGTGTCCTGCAGAAGCACATCCTAAATTTTCCTTTCACACCATATCAGTAAAATTGCTGTCCTTGAAACAACATATTTCAAAAGGCAGTTGATGCTATTGATACACGTTATTAGCATCTTCCCCACAGATGAACTGAGCAAAGGTCATTAAGAATGAGAGTAATGGAGACCTCCCTTCATGGTTCATGGTTCTGAAGATCAAAGAAAGCTTTTAAG